GGCGGGGCAGGCGGGGGCGGGGCTGCAGGGGAACTCATGCTCCCACCTTTTCTTGCGGAGGCGGTGCGCCGGGAGGCTTGTGCTTTGCGAGGCAGGCGGCCTAACTACTGAGCCAAATCGTGGAGAACAGTGAGCATCCATAACTAAAACATTGACCATCTTTCCACTGTGACACTGCCCTAGATGTCTCCCTGTACGTCTGCCATTGCTTCAGCATCCATCCCCGTGAAGTAGGGATAAGTCAGCAGTCTTTTTGACAGTAAGTGAATTCATGCAGACATTTCTGGATTAACTCTGTCATCCTGTTTTTCATTCCACAAAAAGCACCAAATGCCGTATCAGTTGCTTTATTATCATTAGAAAAGCTCATCGGATCGGTCAGGTCCCCCCCACCATCAGGGACTGAACTCAGGCAGATGAGGCTCCACTGAGCTAAATCCCTGGTCCCTTGATCATTTTTTAAAACTATCTGTAGTAAATTAAAACCCTACCCAAAATAATAAGGAACTGGAGATGTAGCTCAGTGCAGAGCCCCTGGGTTCAATTACCAGTACCACAGAATCAGGCAGGTGAGCCAGGCCTTCATAACATATTATTAACAAAGCACAGCATGTGCATGTGCTGGGGCTTCAGCCTGTGTCTTCTCTGCCCTCGTTTTCTTTGTCCGGTAGCCGTGATCAATGGAGTACAAATATGAACGAGTAAAAACTTTAACTGTATAGAAGGAAACCCTGCAGTTTGTAATCGGGAACCACACCTGAAGCTTTCAAATGGAAAGCATTAATTTTTCTATAGTGAGAAAAGAAACTTGGAACACTTATTCATTCATCTAACATTTTAAGAGCTTTTTTTATCCCTGGTACTAAGCATTTGAGGATATAGGCCTATAGTGTAAGTATAAAAGTAATGATTGAGTAGACATATGCCTAGATTTATAGGAGAATAACAAGTTTTGTAAATGCAACAGGTGGAATACCACCAGGCCTGAAGAGTTGCGGTATTGGAGCCAAGCATGGTGGTGCATGCCAATTCCAGGCCGTGAGAGGCAGAGGCTTGAGGCTCAAGAGTTGAGGATCAGCCTGGGCTATAGAGTGAGATCTAGTCATAACAGGAGGGGAAGATGGAGGAGAGACTTAAGTTAATGTCTTCTGAACATGGTGACAAACACCTATAATCCCAGCTACTCAAGCAGCTGAGGCAAGAGGATGGAGAGTTCTAGGCAAGTCTGGGCAATTTAGCTAGACTGTGACTCAAAATAAAGTGATTTTTGTGGTACCGGGGATTGGATCCAGGGCCTTCACATTGAGCCCTTTTTAAATTTTTTAAATTTTGAGACACCAAGTTATTCAGCTTTCCAGGGATGTGGAATGTGGATGCTTTCCAAGCATGTACTGCATTGCATGGCTAAAATTTTTTTAAAAGGCTGGGGAAGTAGCTCAGTGCCCTAGGGTGCAATAACTACCAGTACTATAAAGCATATACTGTAGATATATTTATATTTCTTTTGTATATAAAATAAATTTTAAAATAAAAGTTGTAGCCTTACTAAATATTACAAGCCCAAATGACTATAATTAGCCGGCAAGTGCTAATTATTATGGAAATGAAAAGTCTCTCAGACAAAGAAATGTACAATACACTGATTTTGACTAAAATGGTGGCAACTTGAAGAGAGAAAAGAGTTGGCAAGTTTTCTTCCAAGGTGACATCAATGAGACTTGAGGACTGCTTCAAGAGCAGGTGTTCGTTGTTGTTTGTGACTGTATTTGGAAATGCATGGAAGTAGGTGACTTTTCATCACTGAAAAAGTTGAACATTGGATGTGGATGCAGTTGATCAGAACAGAGCCAAATTCACCTTATGTTAGGCCAGTGAAGTTTGACTGCAGGCTGTTCATCTGCCAGTGTTAATATAAAAGAAGCTGCTGAGCCGGGCGTAGTGGCATACGCCACCTGTAATCCCATCACTTGGAAGGCTGAGGCAGGAGGATTGCTGTGAGTTTGAGACCAGCAGGTCAGTCTCAACTACATAGTCTCAAAAAACCAAAAAAAAAAAAAAAAAAAAAAAAGCTGCTGATTTGGGTGAGATTGCCTACAGTCAAGTTCAAAGTGAGAAGGAAAAAAAGGCCCTACAAAGGAAAATGAAGCTAAAAAGGACAGCGAAAAGCTGGGCACAGTAGTGCATCCTTGAATCCCAGCACTGATGGAGGCTGAGCCAGGAGGATTGCAAATTCCATCTCACCTGGACAATTTAGGGAGATTCTGTCTCAAAATAAAATGTAAAAAAGGCTAGAGCTCAGTCATAAAATAACCCTGGCTCAATCCCCAGTATCACAAGGAATTTAAAAAAAAAAGACATGAATGGAAAAAGAGATAAAAGTAAGAGGAAAATTAAGAAGTCAACAATATTGTTTCCGGAAAAAGAATATTCTAATGTGTCAGGTTCTGGACCAGGAACACAACTCAAGGGTAGGCTATACTTTCCCTAGCATGTGCCATGCCCTGGCTTCAGCCCCTAGCACCATGTAGACAAAGTCCTTACTAAAATCAATATTCATCAAGTGAGACAAGAATAAGAAAAACACCTTAAGCTTAGCAATGTGGAAGGAGTGGATAACCTTGCCCACATGTTTTGAGGTGGTGATAACATAGAACAGGACAAGGTGGAGGTGAAGAGAAGAAGAGAGACATGCAAAAAAAGTAAGTTTTGTAAGTGGAAAAGGGGCTCAGACAGGGCAGGAAGTTTAGGTCAAAAGTGGGTGAGGGGCCAGGGATTTGGTTCAGTGGTTATACTGCCTGCCTCAAAGGCACACGTTCCTGAGTTCAATTCCCCTGTACCAAAAAAAAAAAAAAAAAAAAAAAAAAAAGAAGTGAGGCTGGGACCTGTGAAAGTGATTTTGGGAAGAATTAATAATTGAGGCTGCAGCAGGAGAAAACAGGCATTGTATGTGGATGCAATGTGGTAGAGGAAGTCAGCTTTAAACACAGGTGGTCCCTTTCTGTCATTTACTCACAATCACAGAACTAACAGGTGGGCTGCCTACTTGGGCACATTCTGAGGAATAGCTGGTCAAAATTGTAGAAATACTGCATTTGGGGGAGAGAAAGGAGAAAATCTATTACCTCCATTCCCTGGGGAGGAACTTTCAAAAGAAGTCCTCCCAGCATTGAGAAGCACTTGATTGTGAGCTGGGAGAGGAGCTGGAAGGGGATAGTTGTTCTGCTTTTTAATAAAGAAAAGAACTCATTTTATTGGCTGTGCTCTTAAAGTGACTCCTCCCATTTTCTTCTGATATGCAAAAAAACCTGATTAATCTCAAAGGATCAGACCCCCAGAGCATTGTTTTACATTTGAAACAAACTGAAAATCATGAATCATGGATGTCAATAAGCCTGGGCTGGCAAAGAGGAAAGGAATGGAAGTTGAGTACCATGAAGACATGGTGCCTATTGATGTGAGCTGGAAGAAGGTGCTATCATCTGAGAGTCAAGGAAGAAGTTTACTGGCTGGAGTCCATGCCAGCATGCTTCAGGAATGGAGGTTTCCAGTTGTTTCCAAGGACAAAGAAATGTAGCTTATCACCTCCATCACTGGCTCATCCTGTTCTCTGACAAGAGAAACTGACCCACTAGGGCCACACACACAAAGATGGGTTCAGAAGGCAGTGATGTGTTTCTTCAGTTAGCTTTATCAGCTGGCCTATATTCTTCATTAGCAAGTCCATACTAAGCAATTTTTATGTCTGACCATAGACTCCTTCTGCAAAAGAATAAAATTTACTTATTTACCATTGACTTGTGACACATGAATATAACTCCAAATAGCAAAACTTCTGCACTTGTTTCAATATACTTGTTAAAATGGGGGTGAGGGTAAGCTGATTATTTAAATAAAATGTCCTGTTTAGAAATACAATTTGAGAAACTAGAGACATTTATAATTAAATGGATGCACACTGAGGCCATACTCTTAAGTGAAATAAATAAGACACATAGTTTCTCTGTAATAAGGGTACTCTGGACCACTGTGGTTGATAAGTTTGTAGGATCAGCATCTCCCATAGAAACCCAGACTTGCTTCAGGGCAAGGACAGCTGGAGCCTGCAATAGAACCTTGCAGAATTTAACTGTGCAGGAGGTCAGGAACCTCAACTTGGGCCCTACAGCCAGAAATCAGGCTGAATCTCAGTGGACTGCAGCTAGTTTGCTGAGACTAATTGACATAGATCTGCACACTGCTGCACACATTGTCTATCACAATAGCAGAGACATACCCTGAGGAAGACCCTTATAAATATTTCTCCCTCTCTCTCCCTCCCCGCCCTCTTTGTCCTGCACGTCTCTTCCTCTTTGTTCCTGTTCCTATCCTATTTTAGATAGGTTTTATCTCTCTTCCCTTCTCTCCACTGTCATTATTCTTATAGGAAGGTGAATAGTTTCTAGCTTCCCTATTGCTGTTAGTTTGTTCTGTACTTGTCTTTGTTCCTTTGCTCTGTCTTCCTCTCCTCTTCAACAATTTCCCCAAATTTGTGTGATTTTTCTGTGTCTTCTAGCCTCACATCTAACGTTTTCCTCTCCTATTTCTCTATCCCTTCCTCCCCAACTCCTTCTAAATCCTTATCCTGCAGGGTAAATTTGCTATATTGAAGGGTTTATTTACCACAAACATATTTTGGTCCTCCATTTTGATCTAGCTCAGGAGGTGACAGATTAATTGCTACCAAAAATTGTTACTTTGTAAGCTATGTTTGATGCTTATTGCATCAATTGGGCTAAGGTGTCATGATTGATCTAATCAGGTGTCCTCCCTGGTATACTGAAAATGAGATGGCCTAAGAGTCATTACAGACTTAAAGCCTAAAGACCAGCTACACCAGGAAGACACCTCTGAGAAGGTTCCATAAGGTTCTAAATACAAGCAATAAAGATACTCACAATAAGCAATATTGAAGTATCAGCCCAGGAATTAAACCAAAAAACAGCACCAAAAAGAAGCAAAGAAAGAAAGAAATGAGGCTGGAGTGGTGCTCAGTGGTGCTACCCCCTTGCCTCCAAAGAGCAAAAACCCAAATTCAATACGGGAAAAAAAAAAAGAGAAGATAACCAAACAAGGCACAAACCCAGGCTTCCAGCTCACCACAGGTAAATTCTTGGGATAAT